AATTATTAATTTTTTTTATAAATAATCTTTTTTTTTATTGTCGCTCCAAGAGTTTGACGTCTATCATTCTAATAATTGGGTCATATAAAAATTTTAATAAACGTTAAAGATTTATTTAGATTTAGTTGTACCAAGCGAAAACGCGTAAATATCGATCGCACTTGACAATGATATTATCATTGCAGTTTGAGTGCTGATAGAAACGACAAAAATCAGCGATGTAGTGATCTGATTAATTTGTTAAATTTACACGAAAATATATTTTATATATAAATTTTTTATATAATATCTGCTAATCACGTAGTTTGATTCGTCAACTTTTAAATTTTCCACGATCTCATCACGATCTAGTATACTTTTCTCTTTTTGCTGAAACATGAATGCATAATTTCGTAATCGATGCACAAGTGCAATCTAATGCGAGCTCTTTTTCGTACCGAAAAATTCATGAAACTTAATTACATCGCCGCTCCGCAGTCTTGTCATTAAAATTCTCTTGCAGCATGCGCCGTGCAACTCCATCATTTTCTATCTAACTATAGAACAGATTGAGGATTTGTAAGATTCTTCACGCTATGCACTCTGGTAGCTTATGATCTGCGTGATAATCTCTCTGAAACATCTGCCTTTCAATAGCGTAGATAGATAGATAAACGAGCACCTGGTGCATTCAGTTAAATTCACTCCATCCTCCAACACACACACCACCTTTCAGCGAAGAATACGCGCGATACAAGTATTCGGTAAAAAATAGAATAAATGAATAAATGTGACGCAAGTCAAGATTGTCGGGGTTTGACAAACTGCGTCACCCAATTAGCTTTCGCTGTCGTTTCACCTTCGGTCATATCGGATTGCTTCGTCGAAGATATTTATATTCGCCTACGCGGGCCTTGTTTCATCCCTCTCCGAGCCCCCCCTCCCCCATATTCAGCGAGAAAATCATGAGCTCACCCCGTTGCGCGCGCGTGGCGGGACCAATATTATAACCCTTACAGCCGTCTATGAGGCTCTCTCGCACAAGGCGCGGTTGTGTACCTTGCTTGCCTACCCTTTGTTCCCTGATGGTTAAAAAATGACGTGATAACTCGAGCCGTGGAACGCGAAAATAGTTTCATTTAATAGGATTTAGGTATTTTTGCTCATTTGTGAAATATTATACGTGTGAAATTTCCATTTTATCGGGGATAAAGCGCCCACGAGGGCCATTACGCATGTAAATTCAACAACGAGCCAACAACTCGTAATTTTCACACGTGGATTACCTTTTATTTATCGTGTTTTTTTTTAAAGGCTGCGTAAAAAGTTCACATATATAGAGAAATCAACAGCCTGTGATAATTAATTTGCAAAAAAGCAGTAGGCGTTAAAAAATGTATTTATTTATTACAATTATTTTATTATTTGTATTGGAATAAAATATATAAAGAAAAGAAATAGAGAATATTTATTTAAACTTGAAAGTTTGACGGAAAATAATATAAATAAGAGAACGTTTTAATTCAACGTTTACTTTATAAATTAACGATCCATCTTTTAGAAATATCAACTAGACGATCAATATCGACGGAATTGATGATCAATAGAGAGACGGAATAGATATATATCATCCGATCGATTAATCAATACGAATACTGAAATTTTTATTTTTGTCATTATCACGCGCGCAATGTCGGTATCATAACATAAGAGTGCTTTTTTCCCGGAAATATCGGGAAATATCGATACTTGCGTCGGTTCGATATCGAAAGGCGGTAGAAGTAGTATAGTACCCTACTAAACTTAAGTATCCCTACCCGACTTGGACGACAACGAAGAGACGACGACGATGACGGCGCTGGACGGAGCAGCACGCAGGCGCCCGCGGTTGTACGTCGTCAGCACTCGTTACAGCGGGGTGGTGTTGCAACGGCAAAACGACGGCGAACAGGGTAGCTCGTATCTCGCGGGACACTCGAGATTGTGCGTGCATGTACGGGCTGTACACGCGTGAGTGTTACGTGCGCGCTATAATGTCCGGTTACGTGGCCGTGAGTTTCGCGGAACGCGGATCATCCAGCGGATGGCCGACGTAACGGTGACGTAGCGCGCATAGTGAACCGAACGTAGTGGAACCATTTGAGTGCCGCGAAAGAGAGGACTGAACTCCTTTGCCTCCGATTTTCCTCGCTCTTTCTTCGCGTCACGCGAATCGGGACTTCTCGTTCCGTGGCAGCGACTTCCCTTTTTCGCTTTTTCGCGTTCACACACGCGAGAGAGAGAAAGAGAGAAAGAAGCGAACAGGGCGCATCGCAGGTAAGCCCGTCCGTATCCTCCGAACGATCGATCGTAAAAATCCACATATACACTGTGCGCCGCTCTATTCCTCGCCTCCGCCCGCCGCTTCCGGACCTTCCTCCGCGAACACTCGGACGCCGTCGTATCGATCATGTGCCGCCGTGCCGTGATGGTGTTTTGCCCGTCGGTTATACGAAGATGACCTCGCAGCAAGGATATCTTCCTGAATCGTGACGATACCGAGATCGTTTCCTTGGTTCTTCTTCGCGCACATATCGCGCTTTCGTGGCTGTCGCATCGTGATAAAATCTACTTGCGACTCTGTTAGAGGCGATTTATTTTCTAATTCTTCTTTTTAAGACACAGGTGCGAATCATATGCTTGCGTAAATCACGCGAAACGTATATTTTGTGATGGATTTTGTATGATTTTTGAAAGTAACTCGAAGCAAAATGGTCTACCTGATCTATCAGTGATACGAGTCAACGATTGACGATCCTGCTTGCGTGATGAACTTTCTGTGACGAATAGACAACATTACGCTACATTTTTTGCTCCCGTTTTATTCATTTATTTATAAGAAAAAGTATCATTAGAATAATATTAATTAATTGCAATTATTAATATTAATTAATTGCAACGTTCTATGGAAATGTGCATTCATAAAACTTGTGAAATACAAAATGCAAAAGATAAAATAATATTTTATAAATATGTCTCTGTGTGTTGCTTCGCGTTAATCGTTAAACAAGTTTCAATGTTGAATACTCGATAATCTTCTACTCAAATCTTGACTTAATAAAATAATCAGCTATTAACAAATGTGATAACAGCTGTTAATATATTCAATGGCGATGATAATAATCGAGGTGGAATTTCGTTGTAGAGACGAACGAGAGGGAATAAAAGTTATCGCCAGCACCGCCGCTGGCTTCATCCGACGATAAGTTAAAAAGAAAAAACACTTGAAAAATGTCGTCGGTTAAGGTGGCGGTGAGGGTACGACCCTTCAACTACCGCGAGATCACTCGCGAAGCACAATGTATCATAGAGATGACGGGGAGTACTACTTGTAAGTTTCAAATTTGCAAATTAAATGTTTAACATGTATTTTTATTATCTTATCGTGCACACATATTGATGCGCTATTTTCGCGTTACAGCCATAACGAATCCTAAAGCTGCACCGGGAAGCAAAGAAGCTGTTAAAAGCTTCAATTATGATTATTCCTACTTTTCTATGGATGTAAGTGTACTTTTTTTATTTCAACGAGAGATATTAAAAGCATCTTGTTGTGTTGACGTTTGGCGTTGACATTTTTCCTCACATTACAGCCAAACGAAGAGAACTACTCGACTCAACTCATGGTTTACAAAGATATTGGCGAAGAAATGTTGGAACACGCTTTCGAAGGTAGATATTAGTTAATAGAGAAAATATCTTTTCTCAACAATATTGACGCAAAATAAATGATTGAACAAAAATCTAAATAATACTGTAGTTCTTACAAATAATTGTATACAATCAATAATGATTGAAAAATCTAAATTTAAAAATTTATTTAAATCACTTTATTAATTTTTGAAGCTAATTTTGGTCGAAATCGATCCGTATATTTTGCCAGCTCTTTAATTTCATCTCTCTTCTTCTTTGCAACGCAGGCTATAACGTTTGCATCTTTGCATACGGTCAAACCGGCGCTGGTAAATCTTACACTATGATGGGCAAGCAGGAAGAGGGTCAAGAGGGAATAATACCACAGATTTGCAAGGATCTGTTTAGGAAAATCAGTTATACATCGAATGAGCGATTGAAGTACTCGGTGGAAGTCAGTTATATGGAAATCTATTGTGAGAGGGTACGCGATTTGTTGAATCCGAAAAATAGGGGGAATCTTCGAGTGAGGGAACACCCTCTCTACGGACCTTACGTCGAAGATCTTTCCAAACTGGCCGTACTGTCATATGAAGACATTCACGATCTCATAGACGAGGGCAACAAAGCTAGGTTAGTCTACGCTCCATTCACATATAAATCACTTTTATACTTGACGATACACGACTGAAAATATGTTTTATTCCAGAACTGTCGCAGCGACGAACATGAACGAGACATCCAGCAGATCGCACGCGGTTTTCACGATATTTTTCACGCAGCAGCAGCAGGACTGTGCCACCGGCTTGATGACGGAAAAAGTTAGCAAAATATCGTTGGTCGATCTGGCTGGGTCTGAAAGAGCCGATTCGACGGGCGCGAAAGGCACGCGGTTAAAGGAAGGCGCCAACATCAACAAAAGTCTGACGACTCTTGGGAAAGTTATCAGTGCACTGGCCGAAATTGTAAGTATCATTTTTTGTTCGATGTCGAATGTCTCCTCGTTGTAAGCATCGAGTATATCGTATACTAATACTATCATTGCGTTTGTTCGCTACTTTGTTACGGATTGCCAGGCAGTAAGTTTGTTGAAATTAATATCTTAGAGTTTGGAGAACAATAAATTGAAAAGTAGTATATAATTTTTTGTAAATTTTTCTGCAGGCGACGAAAAAGAAGAAGAAGGCCGATTTTATACCGTACAGAGACTCCGTTTTAACGTGGTTATTGCGGGAAAACTTGGGAGGAAATTCGAAAACTGCTATGATTGCGGCGGTTAGTCCTGCCGACATCAATTACGATGAGACGCTTTCAACCTTGCGGTAAGATCCTCTTATGCTTGCTATATTTTTTAAATTAATTGACAAATTAATGTCGAAGCTCTTAATGAAGCTAACGAGACTTACATTTTATTCGCAGATATGCGGACAGAGCGAAGCAAATCGTTTGCAAGGCCGTGGTCAACGAAGACGCGAATGCCAGACTTATCAGAGAGCTCAAAGAGGAGATACAGAAACTGCGCGAGCTGTTGAAACAGGAAGGCATCGATGTGCAAGAAGGTAAAGATTTTGATTTAACTTGGCAAAAATGTTGGTATGCAAATCTAATTATAAGAAATTCTTATTCTTGAAAGCGTACAGACGAGGACAGACTGAATAAAAAATACCAGATTAATAATAATAAATAAATGCAAATATAAATTATATCCCTAAATTAGAATTGTTTAATTAATTTGCAGAATAGATTGTACAATTAGTTCATTATGCTAATTGTCGATTTTGCGACGTTTTAAATCCATTTGAATATAGATGATCGAATATAGATGAAACATTTACTCGGAGAAATCAGAGCATACGTAACGTGAAAAATCTTGGCTGCTATAAATTAATTGTAACTGCACAACGCGCGACACAATCCATTCACATAGTATTTTTTTCTTTGTTTCCCTTGCGCTCGACGTAGGGCCAGATGGCAAAGTTACATACGAAAAGAAAGAAGCTAGTAAGTAGAAAAATGTTAACAAATCATATAGCAAAGAATACAGCCAAGACAGGCATCGTCCATCCTCTTGCGCCACTTTCGTAGACATTTACTTTTATTTTGGTTTATATGCGCTTATTCCATTGCTAAGCGCGTAATATCAGTATATATGTCGATCTCCTTAATTTTGTACGTTTGCTTCGCGATTTTTCTTTTTTTTTAATTTTTTTTATTTAATGTACGTGTTTGTCCTGTTAATGCCTATCGATTGCGCTTGTCATGTCTGGTACAATTAGTTCTGACAGTTCCCAAAGTATAAACGAAATATTCAGTCAATGCTGCTTAAATCGATGATTAATTACGCTTCCACTCGCAGGAGCAATATATTCAAAAAAAAAAGAAAAGAAAAATGAAACGTTGGAAGAAAATGTGACAATAAAGATGCAAGTCAATCGAATTCATGTGATTGAAAGTTGCATACAATAGATATCGAACAGTGATATGCGTTTAGATGCTTGGGTACAGTAGATATCATGCCGGTGCTCTGTAATAAACAGCACCAGTTTATTCGAGTTACATTTGTACACGTTGAGAGTTGATGTAGCAACAGTTTGAATTACCCTACAGCTTCTGGAATATTTCTCTTCATCTACGCCACCGCTTTAATTATAGCTTTCGATGTTGATACGACACACGATACCGACTCTGACGCAGGCTTGTCGTTTTAAGCGCCGCGGCTGCGTTTTTCCCGACCTCTGATAATCCTCATTTTACAGGAGACGAGATTATTAGAACGAACAAGCGAAACGAAGAGGACACGAAGGAAACGCGATCGAGACTCTCATCTCACGCTACGTCTACTATCGCCGAAGAGGCGGTCGAGCAGTTACAGGCGTCTGAAAAATTGATCGCAGGTAAATGCGAATGCGATGTTATTCTGATACGGTCTTGGATCTATTTTTATCCCACCGGCAAGATATGCGGCGCGAAATAATTAACAATATTTGTTTTATTTAATTCTATTTGTGTGTTTCAGAATTGAACGAAACGTGGGAAGAGAAGCTGAAGCGAACCGAATCGATTCGCCTGCAGCGCGAGGCGGTGTTCGCCGAAATGGGAGTCGCCGTGAAGGAGGACGGCGTCACCGTGGGTGTCTTCTCCCCCAAGAAGACACCGCATTTGGTGAATCTGAATGAGGATCCCCTCATGTCCGAGTGTCTGATCTACTACATCAAGGACGGTTTCACGCGCATTGGCAGCGCCGAGGCGATTATACCACAGGATGTTCAGCTGTGCGGCCCGCACATACTCAGCGAGCACTGCGTTTTCGAGAATCGCGACGGCATTATCACTCTCATACCGAAGAAGGGAGCCTTGATTTATGTCAACGGCCGCGAAGTGACCGAGCCACTGATCCTAACGACTGGCTCACGTGTCATCCTAGGCAAGAGCCACGTTTTCCGTTTTAATCATCCAGATCAAGGTACGCTGGAATAATCGAACAAGATATAAATATTTATGGAAATGCATAACTGAAAAGTTTGTCTTTGTTTTACAAATCGCAGTACGCGAGCGAATAGCGAACGGATCACCGGCGGAAACTCCTGGCAACAACGAGCCATTGGCGGACTGGGACTTTGCGCAAGTCGAGCTATTGGAAAAACAGGGTATCGATTTAAAGGCTGAAATGGATAAGAGATTACTCGTACTGGAGGAGCAGTTCCGTAAAGAAAAGGAGGAGGCTGATCAGCTGTTCGAGGAGCAACGAAAGGTGCGTAAATACAAACGCGCGTTCATAATGTATCTTCAATCCGTACGCATCGTTGTGATTCGACGCTTCTATGAATAGAGCTACGAGGCGCGGATAGACGCGTTGCAGAGGCAGGTGGAGGAGCAAAGCATGACGATGTCTATGTACAGCAGCTACACGCCGGAAGACTTCAACAATATCGAGGAGGATATTTTCGGTGAGTATGGAACACAAATCGCTTCCGGTTTCCGTTATGTACAGCTATGCCCAATCGATCGGGCATTTCCACACATAATTCTCCAGACTCTTACGAATCTGTCTCGTAAATATCCACACCGTCGACGTGAAGGTCTTTTGCATGCGACAGTGACAGCCTAATCACTTAGTCGATAGGACATAGCACATTTTCTGAACTACAAAGTAATCGGTATTATTTTACCAACTGCTTGGCTTCTCTGACTGTTTTGCCTGGTGATGGCTTGCATTTCAGTCAACCCATTGTTTGACGCAGAGAGCAACTGGACCGAGAGAGAGTTTCAACTGGCCGCTTGGGCCTTCCGCAAGTGGAAATATCATCAATTCACGAGTTTACGGGACGATCTTTGGGGCAACGCGATATTCCTTAAAGAGGCTAATGCTATATCAGTTGAACTAAAAAAGAAGGTACAGTCGCGGACGTAACGGAAAACTTGAGCACGGCTTTCTTGACTTGCGTTCACACATTTCTGCACCATGTTCTCGTATACTTTTAAATTTCTCTCCGGTGTGAATAACAATTGCGTTACGTTTATATGCGCGTAATCTATACGTACGCACCTTTTCAAGCGTAATGAATAAACATGACGCATTTAATAAAAGCGACGCTTCTCGTGTTAAATATCGTATCTCTCCAAAGAAAATATTAATAAAAAAAACAAATATTTTTTCTTTATTTTGCAAAACAAATTTCACTGCATCAATCTTGTCTTTTAGGTCCAATTTCAATTTACCTTACTCACCGATACCCTTTACTCGCCGTTACCCTCGGATCTCTTGCCCGTTATGGATGACGAGGAAGAGGATGAAAGACCGTTCCCGCGCACGATCGTCGCCGTTGAAGTTCAAGACACGAAGAATGGCGCAACGCATTACTGGACATTGGACAAACTAAGGTTTGCTCTTATTAATTCTATATTTCGCGGTAGAAGTTATTCGATTAACAAAACATTTGTGTCGGTGAAATACACATTCTGCTCTTAAATAATTCCAACATAATTAGTCATGAATTCTTGCTGAATAAATTGACAAATTCTGCTAAATAATTTTTCAATTAATTTACGGTTACATTACATATCATCGAATTTATACATTTAACATGTTCTACGATTATCGTTCAATTATTCATTGCTGTAATTGAAATTATATCTTTTCACGCAACTTGTGACAGTTTTCTTCTTTTTCTTTTGTTTCGTCAATGTTGCACAAATATTTTTCTTTTTTACGCGCTTAATGAAAATCACGGGCCCGCGTTGAAATTCGTGTAATCGCAAGATGACGAAAAATTCTTCTAGGCGTATCATGCGCCATCGCGCATCATGAGATGCTCAATTGGCTCACGGATAACGAATTACTCGTTCAAGCGAAATTGCGAAATCACAGCTTATTTGTTAGACTCGGACTGCACTCGTATAGAGAACGCGCAAAAAGGAGGCACAGGCTACTCACGCGAATACATGTTGACTTGTAGACAACGCTTGGAACTGATGCGACACGTGTACAACGAGGACTCGAGCCCCAGCACTCCGGAGGCCAAAGAGGATATTTTCCAATGCCTTACAGTCTACTCTAATCCGAAGTTCTCGCTCGCAAATCTTTTGCCTTCGAGGTTGGTGCTCGAACGCGCGAGGCTCTCCTCTTATCGTCATGTAACACGCTTTACGCCCGGCCTCGAAGAGTCCTTTTGTTCCTGGTGCAAAAGTCGCCGTGTGTTTTTGTCGTTTTTTCTGTTCTTTCTGTCTTGAGAGGCTTCCTCGGCAATGGCGCAACGTCGTGCTCTTTGGCGCAGCACGTGCGAAACGAGCTTTGGCACTTTGGAGCTCGATACGTTTCGAAGTGAAGCTGCATGGTTTTTTAGCTCGTAGCGTAACGACGAATCGATTCGAACACACATGAGCTCCCCTTGCAGAAGTTTTACGCCATCGTTTGTGCAGCACCGCTTTCGCTGCTGTGAACATTTCTATGTTATCTGAATGTGAGAAAAATTTATCTCTTCACATTCCGTGCACGTCTGTTTTCAACACTGACATATCATTCCAATTATCTCCTGCTGAGCTCGTGTCTTCATCACATCTCGCTTTCTAATTTTCTCATGCACGTATATCAGATACAATCGATCGAGAAAACAATGCGCAAAGATACACGTAAATAGAAAATTCGAAAAACACCACATTTTATAATAATAATAACAAATATGTATGTATTTTAATACTTTTATTACTTATTATATAATGCTTGCGTATGAATATTAAACATTTGCCACATCGCAAGAATACCATTCTTTAGTAGACGATTAATCTACGCAAGTGTTATGTTTTTATAACAAACAAATTCCGATCAAATACAATTATCAAAAAGGCTGCGTTCGAATATCTGAAGGAGTTTTTTTACCGATTAACACATTTTGATGATTGAACACACGATATATGATTAGGTTCGCGTAATTTTTTGCGTGGAAATCCATAATAAATGTAAATTTTGCTTGTTTTGCAGACAAAGGCTGGAGCTGATGCGCGAAATGTATCACAACGAGGCCGAGCTCTCACCTACATCTCCGGATTTCAATATCGAGTCTATCACGGGTGGCGATCCATTTTACGATCGGTTTCCGTGGTTCCGTATGGTCGGCAGGTAAGTGAATCACACGATGTCACGATGTCTTTCTTACTTTCGCTCGATACGATACTAATTCGGTCTGAAATTTCAGAGCTTTCGTGTATCTGAGCAACCTGATGTATCCGGTGCCGCTGATTCACAAAGTGGCTATTGTGAACGAGAAGGGCGACGTTAAGGGTTACTTGCGTGTCGCAGTGCAGGCCGTAGTTGGTGCGTAATCCGTCGCTATGCCGTCACACTTGGTATCTCTCTATCGTATATACAAGGATGTACATAACGAACCCTTCTTCCAGAAGAGGAAAACAGCGAATACTCAAGTGGCGTGAGACAATCGGCACGAATCTCCTTCGAGGATGACTTGTTCGGCGGACACAAGCACAACAAACGCAGCTCGCTTTTGGCTCAGACTTTGGAGAAGAATCGGCAGCTGATGCTGCACGAGGAGCGCGTAGTCGAAGGGCACAACGAGGTCAATCAGAAGGATATGAAGGATGAGGACGACATAGGAGATGCCGACAGCGGCAGGGGCGACAGCTCGGTCTCGAGCGATATGAAGGAGGAGGAGCTGCCGGATCATCTGCAGCCTGGCGCTGAATTCACTTTCAGAGTAACGGTCCTACAAGCTATGGGTATTTCTACGGAATACGCCGACATCTTCTGTCAGTTCAAGTGAGTGTCCTGTTTCGCTTTATGTCACTCAATGACAATGTGTAAATTAAAACGCGATTGTTTTTGCAGCTTCTTACACCGACACGACGAAGCTTTCTCAACGGAGCCGGTGAAGAACACTGGCAAGGGCAATCCACCCGGATTCTATCACGTACAAAACGTAAGCGTCGTTCAGAACACTTTTTTTGTCTGAAAATATTATTCCGCTAATCGACGTGATATTTTGTAATCCGATGCAGATCACGGTGACGGTTACCAAGTCCTTCCTGGAGTATCTGAAGACCCAACCGATCGTGTTTGAAGTGTTCGGCCATTATCAGCAGCATCCGCTGCACAAGGACGCGAAACTGGAATAGTGAGTGTTAATCGTAAACTCTAGTTCCTGCGCCAGATTCTGCTCGAGAGCATTTTGTTGAAACACATTTGCATTCACATAGTAGTGTGCGACAACCGCCGAAGCGGATGTTGCCGCCATCCATACCAATCAGCCAGCCAGTCCGTTCGCCGAAATTCGGCAGCGTCCTGCCGTCTCCCAGCACGTCGCACGTACACGCCAAGTACGACGTGCTGGTGTGGTTCGAGATCTGCGAGTTGGCGCCGAACGGCGAGTACGTGCCGTCGGTGGTGGATCACAGCGACGATCTGCCGTGTCGCGGATTGTTCCTGCTCCATCAGGGCATACAGCGTCGCATACGAATCACCATTGTGCACGAGCCGGCTTCCGAATTGAGATGGAAGGATGTGCGCGAGCTCGTGGTGGGTCGTATACGAAACACCCCGGAGCCCGAAGAGGAGGATAACGACTCGTCCGTGCTCTCATTGGGTCTATTCCCTGGCGAATATCTCGAAGTTCCCGGCGATGATCGAACCATGTTCAGATTCGAAGCCGCTTGGGACAGCTCTCTGCACAACTCAGCCCTGCTCAATCGCGTCACGTCTTACGGAGAACAGATCTTCATGACTATTTCTGCGTATCTCGAGGTACGCATCAAGCAATTATTTATCGAATTAATCATTCGGTCATCACTTGTAGTGGAGATATTTTAGAAAACTTATTTTACTCCGTACCGATTTCACAGTTGGAAAATTGCGGCAGACCCGCGATTATCACGAAAGACCTGAGCATGATCATCTACGGAAGAGATGCGAGGGTCGGGCCACGCTCGCTCAAGCATCTGTTTAGCGGCAGCTATCGCAACCAGGAGGCGAACCGACTCAGCGGCGTCTACGAGTTGGTGCTGCGTCGTTCTTCGGAAGCAGGTAGCCCAGGTTTGTTATGTCTAACCATAGTGTAGTCCCGTGTCCACACTTGTTTAATGTCATATCGAGCCGCGGATATCTATGGCGTAAAATGGCATTTTATGTGAGAGCTCGCATTATTGCCATACAGCAGCGCTTACGCTCTCTATTTAAATATACTCAAATGATCTGCTACATTTGACAACCTAACCGTGTGATTTCGATGCCGTAAAACAAGTACGTTTGACTTTCATTTCTAAAAAATTCGAAAAGGAAAAGTCATCTTTATATATATATTATTGTCGTACGTCATGTTGACTATTTTAGTTTCAACATATTGATTTAATATGACGTTTAGTACAAGACAATTAATATTATCCCACCACACGTACCGTATTTTAGTGCATCCTTTTTTATAAACAGCGATTGTTTCATATTTACTCACTCTAAACTCTCTTCTCTCTTTTTTTTTCGCTACCCGTTCCTCTCCCCGCCTTATTTGCGTACAGGAGTTCAAAGGCGTCAGCGTCGCGTCTTGGACACGAGTTCCACGTACGTCAGGGGCGAGGAGAATCTACACGGCTGGAGACCGCGCGGTGACAGCCTGATATTCGACCACCAGTGGGAGCTCGAGAAGCTGACGAGGCTAGAGGAAGTGGAGAGAGTGCGGCACACGTTGTTGTTGAGGGAGAAACTCGGCATTGATAAAGTACCATTCTGCAATAAACCTTTGCACGATTTCACGAAGAGCGAAAAAGTAACTGTGTTCTTTATGTTGTCGAATTATGCGAGATACAACTGTGCATAATGATTGTTGTATGATTGTAGGACGTGTGCAACATGGTGGCGAAGGCCACGAACGAGCCGCACGCTAGTCCGGTGAAGTTGAAACGTTCGACCAGCAAAGACGTTTACGAACCGTGGGAAAATGACGGAGAAGGAGCGCGAACTGGCCACGAAATACATCAAGCTGATCCAGGGCAGGATCCCGAGCAAGGAGCCGATATTGCACACTGACGTCTCACCCGGTGAAGACACCATAACCGATTTATCCGCGTCTATGATGTCCTCGGTCATATCGTCTTCGTCTCAAGAGTCAGTATATACGAGCGTTAGCGATTGCCTAGACCAGGTAACCCTCCCCGCATGCCTCTGAGTGCTCCCGCTAGTAGCGGTTGTCCACGCTTCGCTTTGTTGCGCTCTTCCGTAGAACAAAGTAGAGAGCGTCACGTCCGGCAAATACTCGATTCGTTATCGCGTTTTTCAAATAATTTCAAATATAATTTCGCCACACGAGCCATTACATGCTAAATAAATATTGAGAGCACCGAGTGTTTGGAATTGATTTGAACAACGAAACGAACACGACACTCGATATTTACACATTTTGCTAGCTTGGCTCGACGTGGATTATCGCGCTTGAACGCTGACGCTCGAGACCCGAGTGTCTCGACGTGCCGAGACAACCGCCAGCACGATTGGCCTGCGGTCGGGGTTATCCTGGAGTGTTACTTACAGGCCGCTGGTATAATAGTATGGAGCAGGTCTAAGTCGTGCCTCCTTAGGTTGAGTTCGCCGGAGAGGGCTAGACTGCAGGAACTCCAGGAGAGCATATTGGCGAGCGAGTCGGCTAATCAGACCTGTACTGTCGCGCCGCCGCCACTCGGATCGTCCTCGCCATCGAAAGAGAACTTGGTTTTGTACGTGCCGGAAGTGGAGGAGATACGCATTAGCCCGGTCATCGCGCGTAAGGGCTATTTGAACGTTCTCGAACACAAGACCAATGGCTGGAAGAAGCGTTGGGTGGTATGTTCTTTCGCTTCAAATTTATGCCCTTGTTTGGCAATTTCGCCTATATTTATAATCAATTTTTTGCATTCAATTTTCTATCGATTTGATTCTTTCATTTTGAGTTACCGAATAATAATTTTTTTCATTGTCTTAGGCTGTCCGCCGACCATACGTTCTCATCTTCCGAGAGGAAAAAGATCCCGTTGAGAGGGCGCTTATCAATTTAGCTACAGCTCAAGTCGAATACTCCGAAGATCAGTTAGCCATGGTGAAAGTACCGAATACATTTAGGTGAGTTGTGCACGAATGACAAAAGGTAAATACATACGATTGCGCGACATGTCCTAAATCTGTTTGTTATAGTGTCGTCACCAAGCATCGAGGATATTTGCTGCAGACTTTAGGCGACAAGGAAGTTTACGATTGGTTATACGCGATTAATCCTCTTCTAGCTGGCCAAATTAGGTATGTCTAAACCTATCTCGTCCCCTATGATCACCTCAATGATGAAGAATTTAGCGCGAGTACATTATTATTTGAGCTGCGTAAGCCATAGAAACGATAAGTAGAGAGCTGAATATATTGTCGCAGGTCGAAGCTTGCGCGCAAAAGTCCGGGCGCCTCGAATCTGAACAACGGCGCACCGGTCGGCCTGACACCATCGCTGGAGCAGCAGAACAATCAGACAAAGTGAGTGGTCGACACTATGGCCGGGGTAACGAGTGCAATAGCGAAGGCGTCGGAGAAAGTGCTGTGTTGGTCACACTCGGCCTTAGAGTCCCGAGAGTTCTGTAACTTTCGATTCCCGGTAGTCTTCGATTGATCGAGCGCAGGCGGGAGCTGTCATCGAGGAGCAGGCTGGAGACTACCCACGATCGACGTTTCACTTTACACAGCGTCCCCTCAGCACATTGTAGAACAACTTGGGCGGAGTGAAGGGGCGAGGGGGAAAGGGGAGAGGATGACGCTCGTCTTTCGAAGAAGTTACAAATGCGCGTACAAATGCATTTGCTATACCACACTGGAAAAGAAAAAAAAAAAAAACGCTCGTTTTCGCATCTCTCCGTACATTTCGTATTGCACATTCGAAATGCTTTCCACGTCGATGAGACGAAATCACGCGTACGCGCAAATTGTTTCCGTTGAATCTTTGTTTCCATGACGCGTTGATGTAACTACGTGGCGCCCGTTATGCATGCCACGCGCGAGGAAGATAGAAATGCATTTATGCCTAATAGACGTATTCCTAAGACGATCACTGAAAACGGGGTAAAGGAAATACACGTTATAGATATATCTATAGGAAGAAGTATGTGTGCAAGGGGAAGCGAGAAAGAGAGGGAGAGAAAGAGAACAATACAAAGAGAGAAAACAAGACCAGAAAGATATTGATAATTTCGTATACATGTATATGCAAGCTTAACCGATCACTTATAATATGCAGAAAAGTATTGCGAGATAAAAAAGAAACATTAATATTTTGTAAGATGATTCGCGACGGTTGTTTAAAAAGTAGAAACGATTTTCTATGAGAGTTACATTACCATTTTTCGTTCATTAATCGTTGTCTCGATTAAGAAATAGATCAGACATAGATATACCGATGTTGACTATTTAGTTTTCGTGTGAAAGATCGTATTCTTGTCGTACACGTAATCGATTGGCCGTCGCTCGATAAAGATTTATTTTTCCAATTGGAATTTCAAGTGACTTTACTTACGATGTACTATGAGACAGGATAATATTGCTCAAAACAATAATTTTGTATCGGAAGGGAAGGAGGTTTGAGTATTATCCAGGCGTATAGAGTTAATCGCAGAGAAAGAAACGAGTTTGTCGCTTCTTGAAGGGTCAAGTTTATAATTTCTTCTCATATGATTTCAGAACTTTTTTTTTCACGCCGCGTCACCGTATTACCTTTCATATATGGAGTGATTTTATCCTGTCTTAAAATGTATTGAGAAACCCCCGTGCATATTTAATTCTTGGCAGCTACAATTTTCAGACTATATAAATGCATCAAGGAGTTTAAAAGCAAAGAAGTACAAGTAGCGAAAGCTATAAGAACAAATTGAGTAGAACTGAAGCACTTGTGACTCTTTGTTTCTAAGAATCTCTACTTGAAAATGAGGGGAAACTTAATATCCCGATAAATAGAAAACTATAATGTTATTGCCAACTTCTTCGAAACACGAATGAATGCACAAAGTCGGCAAGTAAGCAGCACGTCACGATGATGTTTTCCATTTGTAATGATCGAGGCTCACGTTGATGCGGAGTTACGACAGAACCGTTGGAATTTTCGTATTTCGTATTTCGCGCAGCACGCGAAATAGATGAAATTACGCTAACCCGTGGACGTAAATGCCACGTTCTAACATATTGTGTTTTCATGTCTATTTAGGGTATAAGCGATGCTCCTCGAAGATGTTCGTCACAAGCGCGGCATACATTCCCAGATATCAGTGCGCGTTGGCGAACATAATTGATGATTCAGTCTAACGAGGAGAATGTTCACTTTCAGACCGTCGGATTCTCAATAAACTTTTATTCGCTTGCAGTTTAGATAGAAAAATTGCAATTATACGAGACAGCAGCAGACAGCAAAATTCTCTCGTTTTTCAGAAAAGTAAAGTTAGCATACGCGCATACAATGTGCTCACATGTTTCATTCTTTTTTCAAAAAGTCAACTGATTTGCTATCTGTCCTTTTCTTTTTCAAAGGACTCATGAGCGCAAGTTTGTTCGCCGGTCTGAAATCAACGTTTTCCTCCCGAGAGACGATAGACATAGTCGATTGCGTTGTTCCGAGGCTTTTACCAACTTCTCTTTACCAACTTCTCAAGTGTAACGATTTGGATAACAGGTGCAACGTTATAGATACATGTGTCTACTGCGCACCTCACCTTTGAAGTCAACATCTATTAATTCACGCGAATGTTGGAATGTGACATTCGATATGTATCGCGTATGTAAACATATAATCCGACGTTTCATGCACACTCGGTGCAGCAGAATCCCGGTTTATTCGACTCTCCACTCTACTGAGTCTTTGAGTACGTTCCCGCGTATATGTAATCGAAGGTATATGATATATATATACACACACACACATACACATATTTTCTAATTGTATTGAGCTCTTTATCGCTTCTCTCTCGAGCATGTGATCACATAGAGTTCCGACAAATCGCGAGTACTATTTGGGCATTCATCCACTTGACGCATACGACTCGATACACAATTTCGATTATTGTCATACTATTACTTGGATTAGTGTGCTCCTTAGTTACTGCGAATGACTAGGTGTGGATTCCATTGCGTACGAACATTTTTTTTTTTTTTTTTTTTTTTTTACATTAGCCCTTCCAAATCGGTCGAGTGGTCTGTCGATTTCGTGTACTCTTGATATCTCTCGAAGGGCAAGATTTCCGCTGCCCGATCAAATTGGAGTCTCCGACATGGACAATGACAGGGAAGGGGGACAATTGTAAATCTTAACTCGCTTGATTCTAGTCGCAGAAGCATCTCATGCGCCTGCATAAACAATTCTAAGGCCAACTATTTATTTCTTTTTCCTCCCCCCGATCACACCAATTTTCGATCGTGGCTTACGCAAATGTAACGCCCCACGTCTATTATCGTTTTTTGCTTGCTGACTGTTGTAGTATCTGATAGTTTTATTTTGTTAACGACACCGTAATGTATTAAAACTAAACGCGTAATATAAATATAAGTTGAACTTAGGCTCTCTACCGACTATGCCGAAAAGCAAGTGGTATAAGTATATGAGAGAGGAAGGACGGGAAAAAAAAGAATAAAGAGATAGAAGTGCGTATTACGAAGGAAATTGCATCACATTTAAGTCGTTGGAGAGATTAATAATCATTGTTATTATTAGTAGACAAAATATATATATAGGAGAGAAGAGAACGATATGGCGTGAATGAGTGTGTGCGTGAGAGACCGAGAGAAAGGTAGAGAGATCGACCGAGAGGGAGAGAGGGAGAAAGCGGGAGAATATGAGAGAAGCAAGCCTGTGAACGTGTGAAAGGGTAAGTATGCGAAAGGACACGTTTGCTTATATATATACATAATACAAAATAAATTATATAAATATATAAATAAATTTAATGTTAATTTAAGCATTTTTTGTGAAACGTTAACAATCATCATCGCGAGGTGTACGAGGGAAGTTTAACGATGATGTGATCTGTACCAAGTATGCAAGTTCATGTTATACACATACACACACACACACACACACATATACACATATATATATATATATATATGTATATATATATATATGTTTGTAAGGTAAACATCCATAAAAAATATTTCCGTTCGATCATTTGCTATTGGAAACGTGCATCGACGCTGTAACTAGTATTTATTATAAATATATTATGATTATTCGAATTTTTCGCTAGGCTCACTGTAAGTGGTAACGTGTAATAAATCGGTCAATAAAAAGCTTATATGCTTAATATAAGTCCTCTTCACGGTATTATCCACACATTAGACGTTCCCGTCGCACGTTTACAGCGTAATCTTCAAAAGACTAATCAATTTTGAATACTTGTGACATCTTTTTCGTGAGAATAAATATATAATTAAACGTGCGACAAAGAAATACGACTTCTTAGGCCAATATCTAAATCCATATATTTAAATAAATCTTTTATTTTTTTATTTTTGTGTACAATTTTTATTTTACAATTTGTATTTTACTTAACCATTAAAAATCCTTGCACATTCACGATAAAATTATCTAAATTATTTCTAAACTTCGAAATTTCTTTACTTTCTTCTCTGTTTGGCCCTGGAACAAAATCGACATCTGCGGTTAATGCTGTGAATGCATTCGCTAATCTTTGTGCTATTTCTTGATCTCTTTGAGTGGACAAAATATTTTGTACAAGTTCCTGATATTGATCTCTGTAGCTAGCTATGAGAAAGAAAAGGGGTCGGCCGGCTTTCGGGAACACATCTGAATCGAATTGATTCGACAATATGAGACTTATTATTAACTGAAAAAGAAAAGAAATTTCATGTTTCAGATTTTGTGTTGTACACATTTAAAAATGCGTATTATAGTTTAGAATAAAATTTTAAAAACTTACATTCATAAAAGGTATCAACATTTGGTTTTTTGGTTTTCTGCTCACAGCATCGTGGGCATCGTTATAAATACAAAAGGCTAAAATATTTATTGCATCACAGCAAAAGGCAGTTACATCGCGACCAAATGAGTAGAAACCTAATTCCACTGATGCTAAAAGTTGCTGCATTTGTTTGGTAGGTAGGGCGAGAACTCTTAGAGGGCATATCTCACATACCAATGCTATTACTTTAAAGTACCTAAAAAGAGTAGATACAAATATATGCAAATAATTCTTTAAATAATGTGTTCAAGTTTTAATGTTCAAGTTGTATGACTCGTTTTAACTCAAACTGTTTAAAATTATTCAAAATTGTATCTTCTAACGCAAGTATATACACTTTTTATACGTTATATTTGTTGTCAAATATTGTTAAGATGAAATTGTTAAGATTTTAAGATTGTTGAGATGATATTGTTAAGATCAATTTTACTTACTCGTAACACAGCGACGGAAATTTTAACAGATCTATTGTCATGAGAGGCATGAGCATATCTAAGCCGTGCAAGAAAATATCAGCGGGTGTGGTAGTGGAAGGCCGCCCTTCCTTCGACTTGATTAAGAGAAATAGATCTTTACTTAATAAATTATTTAGTAGTTGCATGAGTAATAAAATATCCTGAAACGCGTCCTCTTCAGCGGTCGAGTCTGTAGTAAGCCGATTAGTATTGCATTTGGCATATGTCTGTATCACCTCCAAACAGATATCATAGATATTTGAACAGCAGTCCTAAAATGATATTGCAATTGAAATTATCATTAAAACACTAAGAGTTAATTACAATAACCTGGATAAATAATACGACTTACCTCTGACAAGTGAAGTATAATATCCTTCGTATATATGCTTAACACTTCTAGCATCAGCTGTACTATATCTCGATAATTGCGATACATTTCTAATAATACTGGAAGCTTGACTAATATTGGGTAGGTAAATCGATACACAATCTCTGATATTGGCTTTTGCGCGCCTTGTAATATGCCTGTTTAAGTAACATAAGATTATTTCAAATCAAAATCATATCGATACACATGGTATATCGTCAATCATAAAATTTGGATAAATATTTAACAATAAATTACCTATAAAAGAATCCAGTATATCTATAACTTGAACTCTAATTTCATCTTGGTGGTAAGATGATGTAAAGTTATTGCTAGACATCAATTCTGTGCATCTTTGTTCCACATATATCACAGTTTGCGACCAATAGTGCCCTTCTATACCTTTATTGTGTACCGCAACACCAGCCTGAACCACCACTTGCATCAAGCCTCTTTTGACGAGCGCCGGAAAATCGCGCTGTCCTTTCGTAGCTAATTCAATGATACGACTGTACTGCTCACATTCTAACAAGCAAGAGGCTCTGAAATCATTATATTTTACGTCACTTTGGTTGACATCAACATTACAATGATTATTTTAATGCGTTTAACCTTCTATAATATATAGTAAATGTCTTTATACTTTTACCTAAACTATAATTTAATGTAGTATTTTTTTCGCAAGCTTTAATAAATAAACTTTGAAAGAGTGAAAACTAACAAAAATTGTGAACGTAATGCATTTGCTGAAATACATGATAATTTTGTCTAGGAATATATTTTATGAAAATATGTTAAATTGATTGTTTTTACGCATTTGTTAGTCTTTTATCTCCCACCTCGAAAGAAAAAAGATAATCGTTATCAAATCTTAGCAAAATCTGGAAGATTTTCCATTCAAATCATATTAATTCGAAACTCGATTTAACAGAACATTTGTACGAAAAAATATAGTTGTCTCTGTATAAATGATTAATATTCTAACAGGCGTGTTTTATGTTGCTATACTTACTTCGTTCGTGATTCCACAAGAATTTTTAACAATTCTATAGTTTCTTGAATAAGCGCCGGTTCACTTTTGAAAGCGTTGATATTACAAATTATTTTATCGAGGAGAAAATTCATCGTCCACAGTGCACCAGGACTATCTTCACCGAAAGCTTGTAAAATTGTTGTGCTTATCTCACAATAATGATCTTCAGCTGGTAAAAGATAGTTTTGTGACCATTCATGTAAAAACCATATAATCGTGTGGCTCAATTCAGGACTGAGTATATTCTCCAAGTGTACCGATACTGCAGTCTTCTCAATGGCGCATAAACGAAAAACATCCGCGATTAACCGAATAACTCGATCGATCGAACCGGAACTACTTATATCTGATTGCACATTTTGCGAAGACACTAAAAACTCCAATGTGTGGTTTACATCAACATTCCCTGTTCGAGACTGAAAAAATATATACAAAAAAGATTCACTAATTTTGTCTGCGGTCTAACGTGGAATTATTATGATTAATTTTTCAAAACCTGTTCCATACTGCATCGCGTAATCTCCAAGGGCATTAATGAGGTTTCGCCCTTCGTTTCCATACAAAGAACGTGACCCGCTATTAGAACAAGCCAATGCAAGTCCTCGTACAAGTCATCCATGGAAGGAGGCCGAGAGAAAGGTTCATTTTGTCCTACTATTGTATTTAAATTATCGCGTAATTTCTGAATTCGATCTTCAAGTAATTGCGTTAATAAATTTAAAGCATAAGATGGCACTCGTCTACCAAAACTTCCTAAAATTACATCAAACGTATTATTATTATCTGCATAAATCAAATGCATTTTAATACAGTCATTGTAACACAAACAATTTCTGATTCTATATTTACCAATTATTTGTAATTGATCCTTAAATTTCACTTTATCGTCTTCTTCCACATCTGCTACTTCTTCGCTGAGATTCTTGTTACCAACAACTCTCATGCCTACTGGAGGTGATAAATGACATCGTAGATACACATTAAAAATCTGGACAGAGCTCTCGTAACAAAAATTTGCTGGAAACATGTGTGTTGTGAATATAATACATATCCATGTTCCAAGTATGCGATCTACAGCCTCCATATATAAGCAATCGTCGGCGCGTACCTACAAACATTTTAAAAGATTAAATTTTAATTCAATTATATGTAATACGATACGATACGATTAAATCACGTAATCGCGAACTGTTCGAACAATCCAAAATATATAAAAACGTTCAAACTTTTCAAGTTCCAAAAATTCGTAATTTAAGTAAAATCAATGATTCAATTGTTTGATTCGTCAAAAAAATTTGTACGAAATTCTCCTTTCTCTCTAAATATTAATCGCAAATAAGAATTCTTTATTATTTTATCTAAATTCATATTTTAATTATTCACATATCTTCCGATCGAAAAAATCCAAACAATTTATGATTCGAGTTTGTGAGATTCGAATTGTTTAAATTGTTCAAACACTAGAAAATTCAAAAGAATAATAATTACCGCGTCTTCTTGCGCAGCACCTTCTATAAACAAGCATGTTAATCTCGTCATTTGCTCCATAAACGACTTTAACAATTCTTCAGGCAGGTTTTTCAATGAGCTTTCAAAGAAGGTGGTAATCTTTCTTATAATATTGGCGATACCACTTGCTTCTTGATCGTTAACATCGATGCTTGTTACAAGTTTCAAAAATCTCTGTATATAATTCGTTAGATACTGCATTTTTACTTGTTCGGTAGTCAGAATTCTACCATGCAAGCTTGCTAATTGCACCAAACAAGTCATGGCGTGGTGGGCTAGTTGTGGATAGTTGCGTACTTTCCAATACACTCCAAAAAATAAATCTAATACTGCTGGATCTACTATTATATCTTGCCATTGTATATGTAATCTCAGTGATGGATGATTTGCGGATTCGTTGGATTCACATAGATTCATCAATCTTTTCGGCAGTGCAATGGAGTTAAGGCGTATACATATAAACAACTGATATAATTTCAAATTCCATATCTAACGTTAAATGTATCTGTATTTTTCTTCCAAATACGCACATATATATATATGCATGTGCATACTAAAGATTTTTTACATCACATTTAATGTAAAATGTGGAATATAAATTGAATGTAAAGCATGGAGATGTTTTCCACTCTCCTCTTACTTGATTTGTAACATCTCTACAAAATAGATAGATTTAAAATATATTAATAATAATAAAAGGATATAATTTGCGTTTACAAATCCCCAAACAAGTATACTTTCCACGATGGAAAGTAAATGCTTTAGAAAAGGTAATGTCAGTTCATCAAAGTCTTTTTCGATTAATTGACCGAGTATTTCAATGCAAAGTTTGAATATTTTTTTCATATCGCTGAGTTCAAATTGTTTTTTCTCTCTAAGATGAACTTCCCATATCAGGTTTAGTTCGGATGATTTTGCAGTCGTTGCATATTCTTCCAATATTGCAGATAAAATATTGCATCCCAAAATTTTCTGCAAATATAAAAAATAAGAAAATAATCTTTCTCTCCTATGCAAGAAATCAATTTTATCAATTTATTCATTTCGTCGCATCTACCTTTGGCAAATCTCCATTTCGAATTAAAGATTCCACTTCGTTTAATATATGTCCTCTCTCTTGTCCAAAATTATCCACACTACCCCTCTTAATTATTATTGCAATAACTTGGAGTATTCTTGCTCTAACATATGGTGCTAAAGTAGGCTTATTTAAAACATAATGTAACAAATACTGTCTCAACGAAGAGACATCAGTCTCTGATAAAGTGATCCATTCTTGCACCAGAGCTGCTTTTAGCAAACCAACTGTTTCAAATAGTATATATTCTATAGTATTCGAATCTAAAATTTGTCGACACAGTTGATAAGGGGCTCTTGTCTTACGAAACTTTAAAAAAATAGCTTCTGCTGATTGACGTTGCTCTGTTGAAATTATATTTGGAGGTGCCTAAAACCAACATGAATACAAAATCATGTTGCACAATATACATGTAAACGAGAAATATATAATTAAAGAAACGTTGTCTATGGCGAAATAATTAAATATACAAGATTTTCTTATAGTTTTAATAAAATATGTGAAATATGACTTATACGTACATATAAAGTAAAAATTCATTTAAAAAAGACCCGATTAGCATAGATTGATTCATAAAACATTACAGATTAAAGTTAGAGAACTAACACGTCCCCTGCCACGTGCATCGTGTGTGCTATTATGCTAAACTTTTTGTTCAGACCGTGAGATATTTTATATTTAATATTTTATTTTAGGTGTCGGCTTCATAAATGTTAGATACGACGATAATTGGTAAAGGTAAATAAATTTTTTCTGTAGCGTATTTTAAACATTCAAAATTTTTCTTGATAATAATTTTTATGAATCTTATAAATGAGTATTAATTAATGAGTCTTATAAATGTTATAAGGTATATGTTAATAAGTAGAATTGTTAGTCTATTAATTATGACATGGAACATAGTTCGTGAGCCACAAGTGGTGCAAATGAAAAATCACTGGAACATCAGAAATGTGTTAAAATATATATAAACAGAAGTTTTTACTCATATTAAATTTATTTCGTGCTACATAATTTAAAGTTTTATCTTTCTTTTAAAACGATTATTTAATGTTCCATCTATCTTATCATACTCTACTCAGTCATACGGATTATTAAATTAGGACTTTAAATGTTAATGAATAACTTAGCTCATGTACTACTCTAACAATAAGTCTTTTCTTAGGAAAATAAAAATTGTGCTTCTCTCTGTAAAATAATAAATATTAATAATTAAAACTATGAAATAAGATATTCTTGAAGCAGTTCTTACTCACAACAGTTATCTTTTCTTACAACATAAGCGACACGTATACCTAATCTATACTGGATATATTTTTTAAAGTTTTTAAAATACGTTTTACTTTACTTCTCATAGAATGCATATGCGTGCGTGCTTAGTATTGGTTGTATTTTAAAAAACAAGTGTTGGTCTAAAATATAGGTCATACATTCACAATAATCTTAACCTCGATATATTTTCCAAACAAATAATCGGATATGATAACGTACGACGTTTTTTACTAATGTATTTTAGCTCTAAGTATGGTAATACGCGTTAATTATAAATTTTATAACAATTTGAGCAGCATCTTTTCTTTTGTTTACTTAGGTTGCACTCAGATTTAGGGTTAAAATAATCTATTTAGAAAATAAGAAAAACTTAATAATTTAACTCACCAAAATGATTTGTGCCGCAGCTTCTAATTCTCGCAGCATTTCCTCTGCCATGTTTGATAAAAGATGTACTTATTTTGTTAAACAGTTATATATTTAGAAGTAAACAGAGATAATATTAGGTTTATCCATAAAGATACTTCCTAAATGCTGCCGAGCTGAATGCTTTCCAATGCTTTCTGAATGGTTTTTAGATGCTTTCAGAATGTACAACCAGTGCTCTTAAAATTACACTAGAGGTTGCAGGCAGGCAACGGGCAGAATATAAAGGTACCTTTTCATGCTAATTAAAAATAACCAACTATTTCCTTGTGCATACGCTTATGCAAGTTTACGTGAATGTACCCTAATAAGTTTTTTTTTTTTTTACATAAATCCATTCTTTTTTTAAACAAATCAATTCTTTTTTACATAAATCAATTTTTCCCGTTTCAGCTCTACGCACAATAAAGAAAATATTAGAAATAGAAAATTGAATTTATTTCAGAATAAAAAAATGGAATGTATTAACGTATCATAAATTAAAAATTAAGAATTGGGAATAATTAATATATTTCGTTCCCTTGTTTGAAATAAAATAATTCCAAAAATTGCTCTTCCTAATATTTAATATTTATTTCTATTCCAAATATTTTCTCTGTTGTACTTATTCTGTGAAAATAATTATCTAACTGCACTTTCTCAGATTTGTTTTCATTAAAATAAAAGAAACATATGCTTGTTAAAAAAATAAAATAAAAGAATTGAAAAAATATATTTATTCACAAAATATTACATTACAGAAAAGATTAAAAACTAGAATAAATTTTTATATTTGCAAAAAATATTTTATATAAATATTTTATTTAATAACGCAATATTTTTTAAAATACAAACAATAATTTGAGAAATCAAAAATAATAAGTATGTCGCTGTCAGATGTATTCATCATAATGATTTATTTCTCTGTTTTAAACTGATTTATTAATACGAGGTTTTGTTGTATCCATATGTATAATAATTGTATATTATTCTAATCTCAATTTATACATAAATTAATTTTAAAATGAATATATGTCGAATCAAAATATGAGAAGTAACATAGATATATGTATGTCAAAGCACAAATCAGATTGGACATAGGTATATTATATATATATGTGAAAGTACAACCTTTTTTTTGTTGGACACAAAACAAAGAAAACATTATTTTCGCGCAAGTTGACAGAAAAAAAAGATATCGCAACATTTTTGTTCACAATAGTAACCTAAACAACGAAACACGTATTATTATTCTGTCTGTACAGCAAAAAAAATGTCCTATGTATATCTACGTTAATTTGTTACAGTTTATTTGAAAACAGCGGAATTAATGAATTATTATACAAGATAAACATCGACTCTTTCTCGTTCTCTCACTCTCTTGCTCCATGTGAAGTATATAGTATGTTTCTAAAAAATAATAATTAACAGAGTTTGCATTTTTTTTTTAATGTTTGACAAAACATGTTAGATTACAAAAAATATGTTAACTTCTTCTCTGCTTCCTCTCTTTCTCTCAAATGATGTATTATTACTTGTCGCTTCTACAAAATTCACCATCATATCAAAACATTTGACAATCTAATTAAGCTGAGTTGTCTCACCATTGATTATTCACCTCATCAAAGCATTAATAGTACCGTTCCTTTACAAAAGTTTACCCTTCAGTATCTCATAAACCATTTTGCTCCTAAAATACGGCATATCTTCCTGCGTAAACGTTACTCTTCTATTCGCACAGGCGTACTCGGCGAACATGCAGGAGAACACTCCGCAATCGCTGCCATTCATCTGCTGTGGAATGTTTTTGGCGGACTGCAATCTCCAGCCACTCATGTCGAACGGTTGTTTCTTCTTGTCCAGACTCTCGTCTTGCAAATACTGCTTTAGTGCTGCCAAACACTTTGGATTACTACTACCCATGCTGTCATAATAAACAATCATTTTTTCCCGAAAGTCTATTATCGACATACACCAGTGAATGTCCAGATGGACAGGCACGACCACAAGATCTTGCGCAAATATGTCTACTTTCCTGGTCCATCGCCTCAGAGAAGAATGACCACCTGATAGCAGTTTCGGATAGAAAAATGTATTCATCGCGTGTACCTTTGGATATTTGTCCGAATTTGTGCCTCTGGCAATCAACAGGTTCATGTAGAAATTTATTACTTCGTCGTTCAACCAATTTAGGCCGGCCAACGTATGGATGTCCTTACGCGTGATCCTCAGACCAAAACCTTCTGCAAGAACTTCGTCTGGCGGACAAGACACAAGAGCGTTTTTCACGTCTCGCAACATACTATCGGTTAGTTTCGGTAATGCCGGTTCCTCTGGCTCTTCTCTATCATCCAGAACAGCCAAGCATAGTTTCATAGTACGTGCTAGTTGCTCTTCCAAAGCCGCTGCCCGAACATATCTATTGTGGTTGGACAGGGCGCATGTCATCTTCTTCAGTTCCTCAGCCTCCCTGTGTCGCTGTTCCATCCGCTCATTGTACTGTTTTTCGACCTGTGCCATAAAGTCTTGTCTCATGATGGGCTTTGCAGCTAATTCATCACGTAACGAATTAGTTGCAACCATTTTGATTGGCGACTTTGGTCTGGACAAGTGTTTTACTGCGCTGACATTAGTGCCAATTATAACCAATTTGTCAGCTCCCGAACATGTTGCGTTGTTTGACTTGTCATTTGAAGGAACTTTTTCTTTATCCACTCTAGAATAATTTGACACGCTGCTTCTGTGACGATATGATGTCTCGGGTATGTCACCGAGTTTAGTTTTGTTGTTTAAATTTACTTCCTTATCCAAGTCGATCACTTCAACAGGTTTCTGCACAGGAGAGTATTCCAGAGTGCGTTTATCTTTTACTACATGTATCCTATCTGGAAGAAAGTTGTGCAGCAATATTTCATATTGAAATCTCTCTTTCAACTGATTGGTTTTGCTCAATGTGGGACATCCATGACTGGTATCTTGCATCGTGTATTTATGACTGGCAGGTGAATGTTTCATCATTGAATTATTATGATGTAGCGAGGAACAAGTGGATTTGCAAGTAGGAGATGGGATTTTTGTATGAGTTTGATAAGATTTTTTCTTATGAGTGCCATTTAACTTGACACACTGTCTCATTGCAGAGCATTTTTGTTCTCCCAGAAATATAATATCATCCTCATCATCACTCTCATCCACATATATATAATTATCCATTGAATGTGATGTATTACAATTGGTTCTAACTTTTTTCGATGTTATATAATCTTCCCCAAAGTTGCAATTTTCAGAGACCTTTCGCTTTCTAGAGCTTTCATCTGCCCATCCAAAAATCTTCTTTAAAAAGTCGAATATCATAGTCATTTTCAAAGCATTTATATGTACGGATTATAGTATTATCCATTCAATACATTTATAATATAATTACTTTGCAGTTCAACCTAAAAATTAAACAAATATGATTATTTTCTAGCTACCTAAAAGACAAACTTTTACATGAAGCTCTTGATACAACTTTTTTATCATATACTATGAAAACAAAAACTATACAGTGAAATTTTATAGCAAGCCTAAACATCAAAGTGGATATTTATATTCCACATTTAGAACTAAATACGCTTTCAATTTTGAGTCACACTTATTTGTTATAAAACTTGAATACGATATTTATCTCAAATCGAGAATCAAATTGCCATATTTAGCGATAGATGTAAAATATGTAAACGATTCTCGATGCGTATCCACGTTCACACGTGTATATTCTTAAATAAGAATACTTACATCTTATCTGAAATTAGGCGAAGCTGCGAATGAGCGAATACCGATTCATATTCCGTTCATTTCGTAAAAGTGAACTTTTGCGAAAAAGATAATTTTACCTAAAAGAATCATTGATATAAACGTATATAAGGTTAACTATGTATTATTCCGTGCATGCAATTCTCATATTCGTTTACGCTGATGCTTACTGTACCACTGATAAAATTTATCGAGCAAGTGTAATCAGTTTTCCTTATTCAGCCTCTCAGACGTGCGATTTGTTGTCCACGTTTAATTTGACAACTGTCTCGAACATAATCAAAGTAACGACGAATTTTATACACATCACACTCAACACCATAGGTTATGCGGAACAGGTTGACACTCCCGCGTATTTTCTCGAAAACGATCCTAGTGTCCTCTGTAGCGAGTAATTTGCAAAGTTGAAAAAGAAAAACAAATTCTAGGCAATAAATATTATCGAAAAACTTGGGAAAAGCAATAAATATTCATGATTGTACTTTTACCAAAATAAATTGTTCATATCCATTTATTTCGTAGATATTTATTTGATTTCGTCAAGTTGGTCACACTCTGCGCTCATGCGCGGTTTCTTGTGCACACAACTTCACGCTTGACATATCGAGTACTTTATTTTACTCTCTTTTTATCTCTACGCGTGTGTTTATGATAAGTAATTCGCATTTATAAGAGATATATTTACATAATTGTATATGCACAGTTCCAAAGTATCACAATACTACAAGGTTCTATAAGAGCAATGTAATTATGATTAGTTGCTTATTTCTGTATTTAAAAGCGAAACTATTTGTTTAGAGTGGTATCGGTATCTTGAATTTTACCGCTTCGAGTTTAATTAATTATTATTTAATGTAAAATATTATACTAAAAGTAGATTTTTATCAAATTTATTATATTTAAAATATATTAATTTTATAAACATATACCATTAATCTTAATGACAAGCAACTCTTGTTGGTACAATTATATTTATATCAAAATAATATTTTTACAGTTGAGAGTTTGTATTAAAGAAGATACAAAGAAAGCATAGATACTTGATAGAAGAAATAAGATTCAATCTCATGAGTAATATTAAGCAAGGATTTGTTGCTGTGCACGTAGGTATGTAGTTGAGTGGATTTAATTTATAATTCCTATTTGTATGCAAATTATATGAAAAATAAAAATCATGCTAATTTATTGTTGCTAGGTGCTGGACAACATTCAATGTCACTTAAAGAAAAATATCAGAAGTTGTGTCGTGAAGCATGCAAAGTGGTAAAATTGTCAAATAATTTAATTAACTGTGTTGTATATTTAATTTTATATAATTTATTATATTTTTTTATAATTATATATTTTATTAGGGAACCACAAGTCTAAGATTTGGTGGTAGCGCGTTGGATGCAGTGGTTGATACAGTAATGATATTGGAAGATTCTCCCATGACAAATGCTGGATTTGGATCAAATCTTACTCTGAATGGAACGGTAGAATGTGATGCAAGTGTAATGGATGGTAGTAATCTGCAGTTTGGTGCGGTCGGTGCAGTTAGTGGCATAAAAAATCCTGTCTTATTGGCAAAGCGTTTATGTGAGCAACAATCCATTAAGTTTGCATACGGTAGAATCCCACCTAGGTATGCATTCAACATTATTTCATCTTCAAAGATACATATTCATAATTGTGCTGAAATTATAACAGTATTTATTCTACAACAGCTTTTTGGTTGGTAACGGTGCACATATTTGGGCACACGAGATGGGCATACAGACCTTACCACCAGAAAACTTAATATCAGGTATGTATAATTTCTAAAAAAATATTTTTACTAGATTTTAATAAGTACAGAAATTTTTACTTATTTATCTGATGTTTATAGTCAAGCATATTCTTATATTGAATTCCAGTAAGAGCTCAGAAAATATACAAACATTACAAAAGGAAGGTCGAGAGCTGCAGTGCAGATAATCAAAAGGTATGAAAAACAAAATTTATCCACAATACACAGAGAGATTATTCTACTGAGATCATGTTGCAGTGTGCTAAGAAAAGGATGGACACAGTAGGTGCAATATGTGTCGATGGTGAAGGAAATATCGCTGCGGCTTGCTCGAGTGGTGGTATAATTCTCAAATATCCTGGAAGAGTTGGACAGGTATGGCTAATTTTTTGCATAGCACAATAGCAGTAAAGAATTTTTATATTTTTGTGTATAAATTTTGTCATCACTTTTATCGTATTTTATTTTAGATATTTTATTTTTAGGCTGGAGTATGGGGCTGCGGTGCCTGGGCAAGTAAAGAATCTTCTTATTCGATAGGCGCTAGCACGTCGGGCTGCGGAGAACATCTCGTACGCACTTCGTTAGCGCGTACAGTCGCAGAAGCTATTTCAAATACATCTTGTCCAACTACGAGCTTGCATCGAGCGATGAACGAGGATTTTATCGGTGCACCGCAGACTTATCATAGCTGATTGCGTGGCGATTAGCAAAAGCAATGACAATCTTTTCATACTTCTTTAGATTCAAAATTTCTCTACGGACTTGAACAGAAACTTGGCGGTGTCATCACCATACGGTATTCGCCGCAAGAAGGTTTAGGCGATTTTCTATGGAGCCATACCACAAATTCTATGATAATTGGTTATATGAATACTTGCGAACGTGCACCAATGGTACATATTTTATTCTTTTTGCGTTTAAAATATTGTTTTAAACATTTATTCAAATATCTATCTCTATCGATTTTCAAAATATTGATAATTTTGCAAATTGTTATACATACACCCACCATATAAAAGCACTTTTTTTTATTTTTAGAGTTACATGTCGGTTTTGCCATCACACGAAGTAGGTAAGAAAGCTATCGTCGAAGGTGTCTGCTTCAAAATAACGGGACTTGACAAAGTTTGACAAGTAAGACTGTGCATTATTTCGAAATAACAAATTTCTGCAAAAATAATTTATTCAAATAATAGCTTAAAATACTTTATATACAAAATTTTTATACCACATTAATGTTCCATGAAGTAACGCTGCTGCCGAGTTAAATAATTTTACGTAACCATAATTTTATAAAATATGGTGCATATATTTTCATAGATTTCATATTGTTAACTTGTGCAAACAAATCGATTACTGATGAATGGATATTGATTGTTAACATATGAAAATACAATGTATCTTGATAACGACTCTTGAAATAATCTTTTATTCATATTATAAACAAGTGTCACTTCACCCACCGCAATGATTTAATTTATAATACATATAGATATTTGTTACGTTTAATATATACACATATAATACATATATGAACCGCGTATCCACATTCTCTATGTTTCATATAAATTAACTTTTATAACTAATTTGATAGAAAACCTATACTGCGTATTCCATTACAAACTGCCTATATCGTTGAATCGCTTCAGTTTCTCAGGGAACACGTCCTTAAAGAGCACCGGATCTGCGCGGAACTCAACAGACTCCAACGGCATAGTCCCGTAAATGGAAGAAAATTTGTTTATACACTGTGTGCGTTCTACCATATGCGTCAAATCCGCGGATAGCATTTCGGTATTGGTACACTCGGGACATCGAAACTTCTTTTTTGGCGTCACCTGTAAGATTTTATCCAAATGTTAGAAAACGCCAGTGCGTAACTCAGCCAAAAGTCTTACTTACTTTTATCGGAGCTTTCCCAGTGATGTTCGCTACTAAAAAGTTCATTGCGATATCCTCACAGTTCATATGCTCGTCCACCCACTCCTTTATATCACCTGGCATGGCTGTGGTATACATATAATTCCAATACTGAAAAAAGTCGCATCGAATAGATTATTATAATAGTACAAAACAACCTAGTATACAAGTACCTATATTCAATACTTGTGCAAGAAATGACATAATTTACTTTGCTGGATTAATTTATACATTCTTCAGGATGGACAGACAGGAAAGGACGTTGGATTTTTTTTAACTAGGAGAAACAAAATCCTAGGATTTTTATGGCAATATATATGTGGTCTGAAACATATTAAGCAAACACAAAACACATATTAAAGAAAAAAAATTGGGCACATAATACCTTGACAAAGAAATGACATAAACGTTTGTAACTTTTCGCAACACTTACCTTGTGATGAAAAGCAGCCCCCGTTAAAACCATGGAAATACTGTTTGTCCATTCGCTCTCGTATTTCCAACAATTAGTACTATTATCCCACATATGTATGCGAGATGGAAATCCAACAATTCTGTCCGGAAATTCTCTCCATACCTAAAAATACATAAAAGAAATAGCTTTTCTCATCAACACTGAAAAGCATAATACAAATAATATTAAATATGATCCTTTAAAGGATTGCATAAAATATTTGAGTGTACCTCGTAAGCAAATTCTACTTCGTCAGCAGTCAACATGATGATGTCATCATCAATTGACAATACTGCTTCAGTTTCAATCTCATCGTACGGATAAAATCGATTGGACAATTTATTTTCTTTCGTTTGAATCACTTTTAATGGTTTATTCACTTTTGGCCATCTTGTCGCTGCAATATTATAATGCAAATTTACAATTAAAGTAGTACGATAAGAATAACGTGTAATTTAAAGCGTGCAGATAGTTGGAAACAACATTTGTAAATCTCTTACAATGCGGTGGATCCTTATGCTGATTGTTCCAAATTACCAGAACTTTGGACAGACTGGGTACCTTCACTAATTTGTTAATTAATAGAAACAATAATTCCACTCTATCGTATGTTAATATTACAGCGGTGAAACCGCGTGTTTTAGGAGCAGTTGCTGGCAGAAAAAGTGGCGACTGCCTTCCCTGTATACGTAAGAGATCATGTGCTTAAAATATATGAAATTTGTAGTTTTTTTACTTTCATATTTATTTTTCATTATATCTACCTTAAAAGGCGGTATATTCCAATATGTGTAATCGCGTGTTAAATGAGGAAATACACGGTCTGCGAGGATCTCTAACGTGGTTTCCGTGATCTTCTGCATCGAACTGAAATAACGATCATACAGCCATACATTCTGTTCTTGCATCTCCGCGATACGCTGCGGAGATATCTTTTTCAGCTGTTGAATTATTAATAAAATATCAACTTCGCGTACAAGAACAGCGGCTCTGAAAATAACAGAAAATTTTAAATCCGATAAATAACTATGTATAAAAAGATAGTTTTGCAGATCACGAGTGCATCTTACTTGGTCCAGTCGATTACATCGTGAAATGGCATCATTAAAGAATCGGCTATAATTACAGGCAAACAGCCAGCCGCTATTGCATCCAAAAGTGAACTTTGGGCAAGCCTAGCGCCGCGGATTATCAGGCAAAATGTTGCCGACTAAAAATAAAGAAAAATATATTTTATTCTATAATAATAAGAAAGCTATTTTTATAATAATTATTATGATCACATTACTTGCAAAATATCAGGATATTTGTATATATCCTCTCCCACGCAACGTATAGTATTATTCATTGGGTTAAAGTGCAAACATGGGCCTAACACTAAAATATCTTTTGGATTTGTCGTTTTTAATTCCATTAAATCTTGTTCAAAGGCAGTATTAATATTGATTTGCGAAGATATAACTAACCACGTTCTGAAATGTTAAAATAATTACATGTATTTTACTGCAATAATTGCAGTATGTGTGCAATAAAAGGGATGATACAAGACATTACCTTGTATTACTATGATTTGTCTTGAGATTATTTACAAGTGGACTATACACTGGTAAGCTAATGTCAAAACTGGGCCTGTATGTTAACGATGACATTCCGGCGCCAGCAATCATTGCTCTTCCTACTGAGACATCAATGACAGTATTATAGTCTGGTACACTTCCAGGTACCATGTTGAAGATTAAATGATTCTCTCCTTTGTTCCAGCTATAAATACATAAGCGATGCATATAATTTGATTAACGGAAGACATAGATAATTGAAAGACGCCATAATTAATATAAAACTTACAAAGGTAATGATCTTAATGCTCGAGAGACCTCTTGCAACCTCAATCTATTTTGATTGAGAGTATCAATGGAAGGAATAAAAATGCAAGCCTCATATGGATTAGGAGTATAAAATTTACTGTTGATAATAGCATTCAGAATCTGATAAAACTCTTTTGTCATCTGGCTTGTTACTTGTCTACCCATAGAATCTAAGTACACCTTAGGTGGATAGACGTATATCAAAAGTTTGTTCCCCTGGCTGCCGCATCGATACACATTAAAACAGGTGAAGTATGTGCAAGAAGAATTGGTGGCATCAGCCGTGGCCAAGTTAGCGGATAACGTTTGGACAGGTAGAGTGTTTATATCATTCAGCGTTATAGGAATGTGTTCAGAACGTTTCTGTGTATTGCCAAACTTAAAGATATATACCGAGATCAATACGACAAACAGTGTAAATAATAATAAACATATCACAAAAACATTGTGGTGATAGTGTGAGATTCTGTTGGTTTTGTGTAATATGCGCGTCGGGAATACCATCTTGTAAGTTTCACGAGATATCGCGAAATATATTGTGCCATACAGATCTCATGAACTGTAAAATAGATAAATTTTTGTCGCAGCTAATGACTTCAAATGCCCGCACAGAAATATATTTGACATATGAAGCTGTCATGTATAAGGCGGTTAATTGCACATAATAAGAAACAATTATCGTTCTTATATTTACTCCTTCTTTGATTTACAAAATTAGAAAATACTTAACGATACAAGCGCGATGTGTATATGTTATAAATCTATATATCTGTCATGATCTATCAGTCTGATTTTTTTTTCGTCAGTTTAAAAAAACGACAAGTGAGGTTATGTTTGTAACATCAACAGAATTTGTCCACTTGCACTTTCTGCAATAAAATGCGCAAAAAAATCAATCAAGATTATATAGTGCACTTCAATTTAGACCCGTGATTGGTTGACTCATGCAAAATCACCTTGATGTCCCTGTGAAAATCTGCTTTTACGATGCAATTTACATAAAGATCGGACTTTACCAACACGTTGAAAGTGCTGTCTTGAGGTCGCGGAAGAAATATGGCGGCGGTGACAAGGTTGGTGACAATTTGATATGGGATGGGCGTCGCGTTGAACGAAGAGTACAGCTTTTTTTTCTCCCACCGTGATGATAATGAATGGTGATATCGCGACATACAAACATGGCCATCATTTGATACTGCAGTCGTCCGCCGATCCAGACGAGTCTAGACTGCTGCTACTGGTGCTACTGCTGGAATTCGCGCGGGGGTAGTATACCGTTCGTCTTGTCGCGTATACACGCCCGAACCGAAGAAACGCGCATCTCGTAAAAAAAAAGAATTATCTCGTGCGCACGGGTGCGAGAAAGAGAAAGAAACAGAGAGAGAAAGAGAGTGAGCGCGTATCGGCCACATCGCAAACTTTTGGAGGCTGCGGCGTGCGTCATATGCCCGTTAAGATGGCCCGGGAATATGATCATCTGTTCAAGCTGCTCATCATAGGAGACAGTGGTACGTACATACGCGCATCCACCGCCAATATACTACTCGCAGAAACGCGCGATTAAAGTTATTCATCTTCATCGACTACGCTTCTGCTTCTCTCGCGATCTATTTTGTTTCTATCTCTATTTCTTCTCTCGTCTTTGTTAAACTCGTTCCGGAAACGCAAAATATTTCAATAACAAGTGGACGTGTACGATGCGACGCTCGTCGGTACAAGCCGATCGCCTGTCATGCAGTTTTACTAATCCAGTTTATTAAATGATGAGTCTGATGATGGATACATGTTGGCTGTCTGCTATACTGTGTTGGCATAGCTTAGATTTCATGATGCGAAAATTGTTCTTCCTGTTTGATAAATTTAGAGCAGCAATAGAAGATAAATCGCATTGATAAAGTGAAAATCACAATATAATGAAATGACAGATATATCGGTATATTTGTCACAATTCTCATTTCTCGACTCATTTATTCTCATTAATATTATGATATGGTTGGAAAATTTATGTAAATATTTATATAAATATTTTTTCTTGGTACAAATGCAATTGTCGGTAATTAAATAATATTTAATTTGATGTAATATTATAAGATGTAAATAATTAATTGTGTGATGCAAAATTATTGTCAAAATCATTATATTAATATATGTATGTGAGGAATTTTAAATATAATAAATATACTTTTGTTTTGTTTTCAAGGTGTAGGTAAAAGCTCACTCCTACTGAGATTTGCTGACAATACTTTCAACGGCAGTTATATAACTACGATAGGAGTGGATTTTAAAATACAAACTGTGGAGGTGGACGGCGAGCGAGTGAAGCTGCAAATTTGGGATACCGCTGGACAAGAACGTTTCCGGACAATAACTTCAACTTACTATAGGGGAACGCACGGCGTTATAGTTGTGTATGATGTGACCAGCGGTGATACGTTCGCGAACGTTAAACGGTGGTTGCATGAAATCGAACAGAATTGTGATGTGGTTAACAGGGTACTCGTAGGAAATAAGAATGACGCACCTAATCAGAAGGTGGTGTTAACGGAAGATGCGCAAAGATTTGCCAACCAAATGGGAATTCAGTTGTTTGAAACTTCCGCCAAGGACAACATCAATGTAGAGGAGGTACGTTGCACTGGTTTTTCTGTTTTAATTTTAATAGATTAAACTTTAAGCCGCTTATTCCATTGTTTGTTTATTGTCATTGCACAAACAGTAAAATTGTTCCATTGACGTTTGAAAATGCTTCCAAGGCAAATTAACGGATGATTTATATTTTGCTATAAATTAACAATGACACGTTACATTTTGCAGATGTTTATGGCAATAACGCGACAAGTGTTACGGACCAAAAAAGAACGCAAGGAGCGGCAAGCCATACAGACGAATGAGACAGTTAACCTGAGGAAAAGCACAAAACAGCACAGGAAAAAATGTTGTTAGCGAGCGTTGTATAAGCATGCTACTCCCTATTCACAAAATATTATTTGATACAATAATTAGGGCAGAATAAAACAGAGAGCATGTGTTAGTACCATGAGCGGACATGAAACGCTGGAAACCCTGATATTTTCTAACAGCAACTGAGTTTTGTATTCCAATTATGATACCTAAGATTGTATTTTAACTAAGGTATACTTTTGACGTTTTAGTATACTCTATTTAATATAATAGAATCGAAATACTGAGCGAGCACGTAGGGCTTATTTAGTGAAAGCGATTGTCTATGCAACATTCGTTTTTAACGTGTTAAATACTTTTGCGTGCTACGTTTGAGAACAAAGGCCTATTCATTTGTAACATTTACAGAAGGGTAACTCTCATAGGCATACGTACACGAATATTTAAAAACTGTGTTACACATACACGCATACAAACGCGTTTCATATCATATTAATTAAACGAAGCATCGTAATTAACAAACAATGCTACATCTTCCGCTAATTTTTATAAAGTTATTTTGGTAATTGTATAAAATTTTGCTGCATTCAATAATGAGTTACCATATTTTAAATAAATCGTATTTAAAGCGAGTAGGATTAAAGTTTTTTGAACAAACAGGCGACAGATATTATTAGCTGGTCCAAGTAATTCTTAGGACGTTTTAGTAAAATTAAGGTTCCTGTAATTTGATGACGCTTTCAATGCACTCTAAAAGATTCAACCGAATGTTAAAGCAGTGGAATGTATCAACGGTATGCAGCGGCATGCGTTACAACTGGTGTACAAAAGAAAAGACTGCATGCTGCTCGAAAACCACAAAAACTGCTTAATCAGGTGAAATTTAATATACTTCCTACTGTGTTCGAAATATTTTCGCATGGGTTTGAAGAATCAACATGGTTTATGAAATTGATATTTATTGTGAATTTATATAGGCACATTTCTAATGTGTAATTAGTAAAGTTTTATAATTGTAATTTGTTCTGATTAAAGTTTTAGAATTATCTACGGAACTTGAGCGTACAATTTGTGTGTTTGAACAACAATGTTTGAAAACACTTTTTTAAACAAGTTTTAAACAGTACCTAATGGAATCATTGAATATTATCATCCCCGATAATTAAGAGCGATAAACTCTCCGGTAAAAAGTATGTACATTGTTACTTCCAAGATATATTACTGAAATACGCAGTATTTAGTCATACATTAATGAAACATTAAGCAGTATTATCTTTTTAATTTTGTATACGGTCTAACATATGTATCATACGCATAATAGTGGTTCCGTAACGAACGTGAGAAAAGTGAAAAGCTCGTGTAACGTCCGACTTTTATATATTCAAGTATACATAAGTACGCAAGAGTATCTTAAATTGTCCGTACATTTGCGACGAAACACATTACACATACACACACACACACGGTTTGAAACATTTATTGCAGAAGGGTAGATAGCAAGACGACGAAAATATAACGATCGGTCATGTCCAGCTATGACAGAAGCTGTCTGTATTAATCTGTGATAATAGTTAAGATAATGTCGCCAGCTGCCACTGTAATACCGCTGCGTGTAATCCCATTCCTCCCTGCTCCTGTGTAATTGTTGTAATTGATATCGCCATTGTTTTCTCTCTTTCTCTTCTCTTTCTAGTTTTCGTTTCTTTCGTACCAATTACATATCTCCCTTAGAGGCAATAAAGCGACATCCTGCAATGTGTACATATTCTCTACTTGCCAGTTTTAGTGGCATATTCACCAAGTATTTCAATCGAGCATATTCAATCTTGTTTACTGTTATACAGTTACGACGTTGTAATATTATTATATACATACGTACGATTATAAATAAATAGGAATTATATGTATGTGTAAACAAGCACCGCCTTAAACTCCTGCTTAGTCAATTTCTATGCGAATGCGCTAGATGCTGCTCGCATGATATCTGAAATATTCTAAACGAGCAAAAATAAGTTTGTTCGAACGGTTGTGCCGAGTTTGATCGATTCGGACAACGCCTACGGGTACGAATCTTATTTTGATATCACGCGAATGTATATCACATTTTCGAGAACGAAAAATCTCAGATATCAAAGTTCAAATTGTTGAATTATCGAGACACCATTAATTGACGCGCGTTGTTTAGGCATGGCGAAACAGAGACTGACGCGTATTTTCAATCAATCATTATATTGCCAGTATTATTTGTGAAAGCACAATTTCGAATCGCGATATGACGGTGAAGCGTTGCTGGTTAGATAGCGACGGATATTCGCGCAAAGAGAAGAAGCCAACAACGCGACTATTCAATAAAATACATGAGCAGTGGTGCTCTTTTATTTATCTCTGTTTACACAAAGTCACATGCATGTAATAATTTCCTGTTTTTTTCTAATTAATACTCACGAATTTGAAAAGTGTACATATATGTACATTCCTTTTTGTAACAAATACAATAAAGTATCTCATCTCGATGAACCGCTTTATCATTAAAGAATATCAGTTGCTGTACTGCTTTTATCTTATCTTTATTCGTAGAAATAGCAGTCAGCGAATCCTGTACGCTATTCCTCGTTAAACTTTGCGAAGGAGCTCTTGCTGCGTTGTCGCTGGCTCTTTCTGGCTTTTATATCCCGCGCGTATTCATCTTTTTACAGTTTATTTGTGATACGCAGAAAAAGATGTATTAAAAATATATATTTATTAATTATCAATATCATGTTCATAAGAAGGATCGTCGATTTTTTCTCAGATGATGTAAACTTTGATGAAAATGTATCGGCATGCTGACGTGACACGGAAAAAGCACGTAACGTCAGATTAATAAGAAATTATCCGACTCGTCGGGGAACGACCTATTTGGTCGTATTTGCAATTGTTCCTGCATAATAAGTGCGCGTATGGTACTGTCGGTGCATCGATCGAATGAACATCTGCAATGAATTAAAATATCTCGCCGGCGCTGGAAACTTTCGAGAAAACAGACGCACATGATGTGCGCGAATCTGACGAATTTTGCAACTCCGGTGAGATAAAGTTGGTATTTTCTCGAGAGAGCGGTATTAATTTTAATACGAACATTAAAGCAAAAGTCGTTTCTGCTTTTCGATACGTAAAAGCAGAAGTAGACCCCCCGACTGGTAAAGAAACTGACTTTATTTAACTTGCACGGGGAAGATAAATCGTTCGATGAGTTACGTGATTAGTTATATTAAGAAATTTACGATCACACATAGTGCGCTCGCAATTTTTCTTCACCCTGAACACACATACGCGCTTCGAATCGATCGAAATGCCAAATGCACTACGACATCTCGGATGTGCAGCACGATCCTGCAATTCCGTTAATTAGCGTACAAATTGTTCCATAAGTCGTCGCGAAACTGCGTTGCTTAAATATCTCTGAAATTCTGCCGAAAAGTGAGTTACCGCTCGAGTATTGATCTTCCAAAGGCAAAACTTCGATAATGCGTAATCAATAATCAAGAAATTATATTGTAAATTGTATGATCATTTAAATTGATTGCATTTTAATTGCTGTTTAATTTATCAAAATCTATTGTGTGCCATGAAATTTTAATGCATTTTTCTAATAATTCTATAATGTGTTCTAGTAATCTTTATTTTTTACGAACTATAATTAGTCGTAAATTGCTTTAAGAATAAGCTTCTTAACGAGAACATAACGTAGCAAGAAAATTTGAAGACTGATGTGCGTACCAACTGTCATTTGCTCGCCGAAACACCGAACCGAAAAAGATGACTATTGTGCAAACCTTGTGTTTTAATTGTATTATTTACGATTGCTTTTTAACTCGTTGACATTTTAATTAGTCGAGATATTTTTTTTCTAATACACGGAATGTTTTCGTGAAATAGGAAAAAATTGCGTTGAAGCTTTAGAAAGACACAATCATGAGCTTGCTCGTGATATAGCATGAGAAATTCGGGCAATTGGGTATGATTGGCTTTCAAGGATCGTACAACGCATATGCTGTGCTCTTAACAAGTCGTTAGTCCCATCATTATCCTCATCGCATGATCCTTGAGAGAGCTTCCTTCGTCGCGACAAAGAATCGTCTCTCAACAACATCCGATTGTTCGATCGTGTGTGTGTAGTTTTCTCTTCGAGTTATCTGTAAAGTATCGCAAAGTGCGCACATTCCAAACTGTAAAATCAACTTAATCGTTTAATTTGAACATTATTGCATTCGTCACATGTCGAGCCAGTGGAAGAATAAATATATCAAGTATACTCGCGATGAAAAGTAGCACGAAGGTGCCGGGTTGATCGAAAGTCGCCGAGCGCAAAATAAACGCATGCAATGGATAAAAAATCGCGTCTCGACCCTCAAAAGTTGCGAAAACTCTTGAAAGAGGAAAATCGTTGCAATCACTTGCGTGTCTTACCGAGTGAAAAGATGGAAGAAACGGGAAGAATCGAAAGACGGAGTGAAAGAGAGAGAGAGAGATAATATGGAGAATTCAATATTATTCAGCATATATCGAACGCGGATCGGCAACGTTGATTCCGGGGTTTCGGCGAGCGAGGGTAGGTCTCTCACGCGCAACGTGGTCCGGGTGTGCGCCGTGTGTCTCTCTCTTCCTCACCCCCGGCCCCTCTCGCCCTCCCACCACGCAACGAAAACTTAAAAATGCCGCCGCAGCGCAACCCGAATCGATAGTCGCTCCGGCGCGGTCACATGGCATGGTTTCGAGCCGCGCGGGCCAATGGGTAGTCGCGGTTCGTCGTGCTCGCTCCGCCTGAAGTCGGTGTAGCGTCGGCGCGACATCTGCGCTCGACTAGGCGGAACGACAGTCCGCGGCTGGCAGCGCACCGGTTCACAGTTTGGCGATGTGCCGCTCTGCAGCCGGTTCATGTACGACGAGTGACCTCGACACGGCACACATCGACGTCGACGGGCGTACAACCACGACGACGGCGAGAGGAACGACGAGGACATTGCGGCGCCAGCACGTGGACAAAACGCGGCGCGTTCTCGCTTAACGCCGTCGGCACCTTTCGTATTACACGCGCATTTCGTGCGTCTGATACACGGCGGCCTATCGTCCGCCGGAAGAAGCGCCACGGGGCCGCAACTCGCGCGCGTAAGCGACCCCGTATACACGCTCGTCGTGCGGTAGTCGTCTCGCGTGCAAAAAGAGAGCCAGCCAGTTGTCGGCGGCCACGGGACAGAAGGAGAGAGTAGAGGAAGTGACTGCGGTGCGCGCGACGGAGATCGCGAGCGCGGGTGAGTGCAAAGAGGCGAGGTGGGGCAGGCGGGTGTGAGAGGGAGAGGAAGAGCCGAGTGGAGCGAGATAGATGCACAGTGGGTGAGAAAGAGAGTGAGGAAGAAAGAAAGAAGCGAGGGGGACTCTCCGCGAGCGCGAGCAGGAGTGAGAGGCGACGATACGAAGGAGGGAACGGAGAGTCCAGACCATCGCTACGCGATATGGTGTTTCTACATGTGCCGCGCGCAAGAGAATGGTGCTGTCGTGAAAAGTAACTCTCTCGGACGAGTCGTGCGTGCACGCCGTAACGATACACTGGCACGAAGTGTCGCGTGTCGTTCGCCGTTCCCCGCGTCCGTACCTCCTTTTTCCGATATATCGCCAGTATCTCATCGCGTCACTCTTCGTCGTCGATCAGCGAGATAAATCCCGCTGTGTGCCGCCTGCTGGCCCCCGCCGTTCGTCCCCCCCCCCTCCCCCTCCGTTTGCGGCGCGACCACGTCGTGGATCGCGCGTTGCGTCGCGTCGACGCGCGGCTGATATTGGCGGTGGCCGTCATCGCGTAGCGCGCGCCGATCGATAATCGCGATCGATAACAGGATTCTCGTATTCGCGCGTGTGTTTGTGCTGTGTGGGTGTATTGTATATAAATATATATTTATCATTTCAAATACGTGGCGCGTATCTTTGGAACGTGTCTCTGTGTGCGCGCGCGCGCGCGTGGAGAAAAAACTCTTGTTATGCGACCGCGAAACGAAGAAGCCGCGTCATAACCTAAAGCAACGACGGAGCGACCGGGAAGAAAGAGGGATCGCGGAACGCTGAGAAGAGGAAGGAGAAGGAAAAAGAGGAAGCAAGAATTCAAGATAGAGGGAGATAATCACCGCGACGGACAAGGACACGACGAGCGCTCGACGGCCGCTCGCTCGTCGTCGGTCGTCGCGGCAGAGTCGCCGCGCGTGAGGCCTCGGCACGCACCATCAGCAGCGGTCGCGGGGTCGCAGGACGACGAGCACGACGGCGCGACAACTTCCGACGACGACGGCGACGACGGCGACGACGATATGGAGGAGAGTCAGCTGTTGATGACCGAACTACCCGCGCCATCGATACCACGAAGCGTTTGCGGCGGCACAACGCTGCTCCATCGTCCGGGTCATTACTATCATCTGCACCAGCCGCACCTGGCGATACCGACGCCGCAGAGCCAGGCGCAACTCCTCCAGCAACACAATTCCGGCGGCACGGCGCCGCATTACGGAACGGACGGCAACGGCGCCGGCACGACTCCAGCGGCCGCTGCCGCCGCCGGTCTGCCGGCTGCCTACGCGATCGGCCAGGGCGGCGGCATCTCGTCGCGACTGCATCAGCTGCATCCGCATCACCATCAGGCGCGTCAGCGTGGCGGTGCTACAACGGCGCACGGCCAACCGGCCGCTAGCACCCACGTGTCCTGCCTCTACCCGGAGATACTCGCACTCATCTTCAGCTACCTGGACGTGCGCGACAAAGGACGCGCCGCGCAAGTGTGCACCGCGTGGCGAGATGCCGCCTACTATCGCTCGGTCTGGCGAGGAGTAGAGGCGCGGCTGCATCTGCGAAAACAGGCACCGGCGTTGTTCGCCAGCCTGGTGCGACGTGGCGTGAAGAGGGTGCAGGTGCTATCGCTGCGACGCGGTCTCAGCGACGTGCTCAGAGGAGTACCGAATCTCGAGGCGCTCAATCTGTCCGGCTGTTACAACATCACCGATGCCGGTCTGACGAACGCTTTCAGTCAGGATTACCCGTCGCTCACCGAGCTCAATCTGTCGCTCTGCAAGCAGGTGACGGACACGTCGCTCAGCCGGATAGCGCAGTTCTTGAAGAACCTCGAGCACCTCGAATTGGGCGGCTGCTGCAATATCTCCAACACCGGTCTGCTGCTGATCGCGTGGGGCCTGAAGAAGCTCAAGCGGCTGGATCTGCGTAGCTGCTGGCACGTGTCCGACGTGGGCATTGCTCATCTAGCCGGTCTCAACAGCGAGACCGCGAACGGCAACCTCGCTCTCGAACATCTCAGTCTGCAAGACTGTCAGAGATTGAGCGACGAGGCGCTCAAACATGTATCAATCGGCCTCACCACCCTCAAGTCTATCAATCTGTCATTCTGCGTGTGCATCACCGATTCCGGCGTCAAGCATTTGGCACGAATGCCAAGTCTGCGCGAGCTCAATCTGCGCTCTTGTGACAACATCTCCGACATCGGGATGGCGTACCTGGCCGAGGGTGGTAGCCGCATCACTTCACTCGACGTGTCATTCTGCGACAAGATCGGCGACCAGGCGCTCGTACACATCTCCCAGGGACTGTTTAACCTCAAGTCCCTGTCGCTATCCGCCTGCCAGATAAGCGACGAGGGCATCTGCAAGATCGCCAAGACTCTGCACGACCTGGAGACCCTCAACATCGGCCAGTGCTACCGACTCACCGATCGCGGTCTCTACTTCATCGCCGAGAGCATGAGGAACCTCAAGTGCATCGATCTGTACGGCTGCACAAGGATCACCACCAGCGGCCTCGAGCGGATCATGAAGCTACCGCAGCTCGCCACGTTGAATCTTGGCCTGTGGCACGTGCGGTGATGGCTTTTTCCGTGGCAGCGTGTCCGGGACGCCGAACCGTTACCAAGACGTCACCGTTACCAGCGACAACGTTACGACGACGACGACGACGATGACGATGACGATGACGATGACGACGACGACATCGACGACGACATCGACGACGACGACGACGACGACGACGACGACATCGACGACGACATCGACGACGACATCGACGACGACGGCGGCGGCGGCGACAACGACGACGACTTCGCCATGAGCAGTCTGCGCGTGTTCTTGCCGGTAAGTCCGTCGCTCGGCGTGCGAAGCCGCCCGACGAGCGCCATCGACATCCGCGTTCTCGGCGAATAGCGTTTAGCTCGTTTCTCCGCGTGGGACGGAAGGTTTCTCTCCCCTTCCCGAGGGAGAGGGGAAACGACCGCTCGCCCTCAAGGGGCATCGTTCTGCGAGAAGGTGGCGAGTTCGCGCCCGTTCGAGGAGGGCTTCCTTCCCTCACCTCCCAGGAAGCGGCCGTCTCGAGCATACATACGCACTTCCCGATCGTAACTCGGTCGTCGCGCGCGCGTCGGAGACGATCGCTAGATTAATTCGAACGTCCGGGTTCGAGGAGTCTCGAATTCGACTCTCGACTCGGCCGATTCGCGGAAATTTAGGAAAAAAACGAATATCGCGCCTTGGGTTTTTTCCGCTCGTTTTTTCCGATTCGCAGGGGAAAATGCGATTTTCGTCGTGTACGATCATCGAGACGTGGTGATTAAACGCACCGCCGTATCTGGCCATCGACAGCAATTAGGCCAAGGATTGAAAATGATGTAATTTCGGTGAGTTCAATTTCCCATGCCGGATGATACGCGAAAAAAAAGGCCTTACGCCGATTGTCGTATTTACATTGTCACGAATGACACATGCAGATCAATTCCGCGTTAATCAAACTCGGCGAAATAACAACAGTTTCAATCCTTGTAATTTTATTTTTTTTTTTTAAGGTAGGAGGAAAGTTTCACGTGGGTTGCGACGAAAATGTTGATAAATCGATTGATAACGATTAGGCGTCTGTGCATCCTGAACGAAAAATGTTTTACATGTTAGGCACGTTTTGAGATTACGCTTTTTTTTTTATTATTATTAAGCACGTCATTTCGATTTGACGTGATCGAATGTCGTTGCGTCTCTCGCTCTTTATTTGGATGTTTTCAAGAAACACGTTTCTCTCGATGATTTTTAACTAACAGCTGCTCTTATCTGTCGTTGACGATTGCAAACACACGCAATATTTTTTTCCAAGCTCCCTATCTGTTTTCACTTCCTGATCGCTGTATTCGCAATTAGCAAAAAAGTCTGTTTGCAGAAAAACTTCTTTACGCACGCGCTCTTATCACATCTTTTTAATCACTATGTTAAAATTTCTCAATTTTTTTTCAAATTAATGTGTCATATATGGTTCTCAAGAAACTTTTTAAGCGCACTATGATTTTTCGAAGTTGTCATATTTTTTCAAAATGCTTTCACTGTCTACTCAATTTTAAGATTTAAAATTTCATTATTATTCATTGCATTATACGCTTTGTATAAATAATATGATATATATACATGAGTAATAATTTCAAATCTCAAAACCAAGTAGTGAAAATAATTTGAGAACTATGACAATTACGAAAAATCATAATGCACTTAAAAATTTATTGGAAACCATATAAAACATTGAGTTAAAAAATTGGGAAATTAACATATTGATTAAATTGAGTTGATAAATTGAGGTAGACAGTCATGAACAATGTGCTTCAAAATTCTTTATTCTAATAAATAGAATTTTGAAGCACCGACCTGTGTACGACTCTCCTATCCTAATTTATCAATTCAGTTGCATTAAAATATATATGTTATATAATAATATTAAAATATATTATATATATATATATATATATATATATATATATATATAT